GGATTCATCTACTATGTCTCAGGTAAGGACATATTTCACAAACGAGAGACAGCGAGTCTTAGGTTTTCCCAAATTGAGGACTGCAAGCTGGAGTTTCTTTCTATATCTGGGAATGATATATTCCCAAAGGGAAACGGGACCACAGACTTGTAAATTGTAGCATTTGCTGAAGGAGGCAGATTTAGCCCCATCCTGGGCCACTTGGTACAGGCTAAAAAAGAAATTGCTCAGTTTGGCTGCTGTAAAGAAAACTGAATAACTAGCCACTCTCATCACTGTATGAAGTGATGTCACTAAGCGGCCGTTATGTGACCCATGTGACTTATCTTCACCAAAGGGAGATAATTGCCTTCTGTATCCCTACAATATAAATATTGCTTAAAAGTAATATAATAATTTAATATAATTCACTATTATTATTTCTTTGATTTCATTTATTATATAAATATTATGATTATTTATTTATATTTGTATATGTATTGATTATTTTTTCAACTTTTTCCACAGTGACCAGGTTTTTTTTGTATTAGTATTTATTAGTATTTATTTGTTTTTGTACAACTATCCTGATGATGCTTTGTCTTATTTTTACTTTCCGTTTTTGCTTACCTAAAGTGATATTTATCAACTTTGCATTTTCTACTGTCATTTATTTTTTTATCAATTGATATTTTAGATATTAGTACTGTCAAAAAGGTAGTAAAGATTATTTTTATTGCATGTTATAAATCATGACTTCATAATCTCTGAGTATTATGATTATTTATTTATATTTATATATGTATTGATTATTTTTTAAGCTTAAATCCTGATTTATATTTTTCTTTTTCCACAGTTATCCTGCTAATAGGAATAGCTAGGAAAGGAATAATATTTTTAGTTTGTATTTTCCCATTACAGGCATTATTATATTCATGATATAATAACACCTTAATACACAGATGGAACAGAATAACTGAAACAAAGGAATGGCAAACATGCATTATTCTCAAAAAGAATATGTACGTACTTGTAGCTATTGTCACAAATTGTCCCACACAGAGAAATTATAACATATGTATACATTAAGCAGTAGGAAAGGAACAAAAAGTGAGATGATCTTACTTTTAATATTTCCCAAAGAGAAAATGGGCAAGCCAGTGGTGTCTTCTGTGTACTTGATGAGTTCATGTAGCTTCCTTTGTACACCCTACCACTGTGAGCTGGTGATATCCATCTTTTTTATGGTCTTCATAGCAATCGGCGTGGGTTGATGTGTCTTACCTCTAGGTGTGCTAAATGGCAACTGGTGTTTGTCCCTCTATGAACTGAACATGACCCTTGTGTATTTTAATATTTCCCAACAGGAAAACTGGCAGGCCAGTGGTGTCTTCTATGTACCTGGTGAGTTTGTGTGGTTTCCTTTGTATACCCTATCATTATGAGCTTGTGACATCTGTCTTTTCCATGGTCTGCATAGCAACTGGCATGGGTTGACATGTTTGTGAATATATGAACTGATATCACTCAATGGCTGTCACATAACCATTGTGTATTTTAATATTTCTTTGTTTATTTACGTGCAACTCTTTTTATAATTTATTTTGCTGCCAAGTGTTTTTGTTTAGCTGGCATTTATAAATGTAGTCACCTGAAGATTATGAGAGTGTGGAACTTGAGTAATGACTCAAACTCTCCTTTTTTGTAAGTGTGCTGATGTTGTAAAACTTTTTTTTTTGCTGGGAATTTTAAATTATGAAAATATTTTCTGAAAATTTTTTTTTTTAATAATATGTTTTAGGTTATGTTTTTTGTTTTTTTTTAATAATGTGTTTTGGGTTTTGTTTTTTTAATGTGTTTTGGTTCTATAATCTAGTCAATTTAATTTAGATTCTTTTTTTTTTTGTTTCTGTCATCTTTATTATTAAATATCCCACATTGTAATAACAGAAGATCAGCCAAGAACGGTGAAATATTGTAGGAACATGGACACAAATGTGGATGAACTACTAACTAAAGCATTTTCTAAACATTTTCATCAGTAAATTATTTTCTCTTTTAATTAGAGTAACATTTTTGATGTCAGAATTGTGGTCAATCTCCTTATAGTGAACAACTAATACATTTTATGTGTTTAAATTTTCTCTTTTGTGTTGATATAATCTTTTACTGGATGGCATTCTATCAGAGGCCATCAAGTACACAAAGGGTGTGTCCTACTTGACTACATGGTGAGTCTCCTCTGTCAATGCTGGGAGGAGGGAATGGTGTCACAGGATATGAGCATGCTGAAAGGGTATGTCCCAAATCCCAGTGCAGTTTCAGGTTGGAGGCTATCACTATATGCAGCAGGGTTGTGTGTTTGCACCTACCTTATTAATTATCTTCTTCACAGTCATAGTGAAACGTGTCTGTTGCATCCTGACAGCACTCCCATATTTTTTAAAAACAACTGGAAAAAAAAGCTTAACCAACATTGTTGTAAGACTGGTTCAGGATGTATTCTGCAGCCCAGAGATTATGATTATATTGTAATATCTGCTGTGAGCTTTGTGCCTGATCCCATGCAAGTGGGGACTGGGCAAAAATTGACCCATATTTGACCAGTGGCTTGATTGTACATGTTCAGTTTCCCCACATTAAAATGACCTTGTATTGCATTCCACCCCAGTGGATAAATACCCATGCCATTTCCACGGCCATGACAAGCTTTGTGCCTCATGTGCGAGAAAACAGGGAAAAAAAAACAAAAAAAACAAACTTCTTGCAACACAAAAACGAACGCCTTCTTGCGACACAAAAACGAATGCCTACTTGCGACACAAAAACGAACGCCTACTTGTGAACCTGAAACGAATGTGACACGAAAACGAACGCCTACTTGCGACACAAAAATGAACGCCTTCTTGCGACACAAAAAAACAAAAACAAATGCCTTCTTGCAAACGAACACTTTACGACAGCAAATGAGCAAAATGGCACCCAAGACTGCTGCTGACGGACGACCGACCGCAACAGCTTATGTCGCCCAAGAAGAGACACCAAACAACTCATGCGTCTTCTTCTTGTAGTCCTCGGTCGAGTTCATTATGGTTACACCTCATTCTGCGTAAGTGGGTTCCAGGTAAATTTTGACTAGTGGTTTAAATGTATGTGCTTGTATTCCCCATGTTAAGTAACTGACCTTATATCTCATCCCACCCCAGTGGGAGGACCATGGCTAAGAGACTATGATCAAAGTTTAGCACCTGTACCACAGTCATGCATTAAATAACTGATCTTTTGTCTCATTGCAACTCAGTGTGTGGTGGGTATGTGTAAATACTCACGTGTTCTTCAGCCCAGGTGGCTAGGATCAAAGTGCAGTATCTGTTCCAGCAGCAGCCTTCCCATGCTCCATCTATCAGCAGCTAGCCAGCCATCATAATCTCCAGCTTGCCATTGACTGTCTCTCCAGCTCCCGTCACTCCAGCCATTTCCAGTAGGCCTCCAGCTCTTGTCACTCCAACATTTTGCAGTAGGCCTCCAGCTCCTGTCACTCCAGCCATTTACAGTAGGCCTCCATCTCCTGTCACTCCAGCCATTTATTTCACACCTCAACGACACATGGCACAGTGGATAAAGGCATTAGTTAGATCAAAGGACAGGACCCAAAGAGTGTGAGCACAATACCTTGTTAAGCTGGTGATGAACTTGGAGAGGGGAATTAACAGGATATAACTGATAAATGTCATCCATTAGTATGTGGAACTAAAAGAGTCCACCCTAGTGAGCGAAATAAAGGGTTCTGTTTGATATTTCAACCACCTGAAGAAGGCCAGAGCATACAACAGCCAAAATGTTGTGATAAATATGGCAACAAAGATAAGGATGATAGTCTGAACAAAGTAAAAAGTTTTTCCACTTTGTCATACATTTTTCCTCCATATATATATATATATATATATATATATATATATATATATATATATATATGTGTGTGTGTGTGTATATGTATCTATATAATATTTCTGTTTTGTGTGGTTTTTGAATCAGATTCACCATCTGGGTACTTAGGGTAAATATTCCTTAATAAATAAAAATAAATAAAAAGGGTTTCCTTTCTATTCTTTCTTCATTTGTTTACACTGCAATTAAACTAAATTTGCTAACTGCAAAGTGGAATGTAAAAAACAGTTGCTAAAAACTTTCCAGCTTTGAAAACGACAATTCTAAAATCAATTCATCTTAGTTAAGAAATGTCTGAACTTTTTTTTCTTTATTTAATAATATACATCATTGTCACTTGCATGTTTATCTCAAATCAATAATTCATGGGCAGAAATGGAAAGGTGTTAAAGACTTTTAATTTCCACGTCAATGCAGATGTTGCATTTTCAAAGTTTCCAAAGTCAGTTTTGTTCAGTAAAATGGCAAAGATACACTGAAGAATTTAAAAAATAAAGTTAAATAATAAAAAATTATTCAATTTAGAAAATATTTTCTGATATATTTACACTATTTACATTGTTCAAACTGTTGTCCTCATCTTTATTGTCATATTCACAATGGTTTGGCCATTGTATGCTCTGGCCTTCTTGAGGTGATATACATTGGAATTTCAAAACAAACCCTTTATTTAGTCCAGATTTTTCTAAACATGGGCACATGGCCCAATGCATAAAAGCATTGGTTGAAGTAATGCAAAAATTGACTTAACCCAAAGAGTTTTGAGTTCAATACCTGGCCACAGCAGAGGTGAACAAAAAACTTGGAGAGTTGAATTATTAAAGGGAAATAACTGAAACTGAAACATCTAGAAAAAGTGTGGAACTAGAACAATCTACCCCAGTGGACTAAATAAAGGATTCAGTTTGAAATTCCAAACAATGTAAATAGTTACAATACATCATATCAGAAATATAGACAGATTTTCTGAAATATTAACCTAAAATGAACTAAATACAATAAATACTAGTGGTATTACTAATTAGTTATAGTCACAATTAATATTGTAAAGAACTTCCAATAATGTTGTGGCTGACAGCCACATCATGTTGAAACACCTATTCTCAAACAATCAAATAAGTTAAGCAATGTCGAGCCTGGTCAGTACCTGGATGGGTGACTGCTTGGAAATACCAGGTGCTGTAAGGTTGGATGTGCAGCTGGTGTAATGGATAATGGTTAGGAATTGTTAATTGGAATGCTGAGTTCCAATTCTCATTGGGTTTGTTATATTCACTTAAGCGTAAATACCCTTGAGAAAAGTACGAATCCACCTCTTCTCCCTCCAGCTATGGGTTAATTAGTAAGACTTGTATCACTAAATCATTATTATCGCCAAAAAAAATTCTTACAATTTGGCTTTAAATAACCTGCAAAATGTTGATAAACCATAGAAAACGAATCAATCAATCAATCTACTGATTAAGCAAAAGAAATTTAAAGAAGAAATTAGTAACACTTGTAAAGCATTATTATCGTCAAAATTTATTCTTAGAATCTAAAAATATTTTGAAAGACTGATAAGCTGTAGAAAATGAATGAATGAATCAATCAAACCAATAATTTTCTAGTGAAATTTAAAATTACATTTTTACAAAGTCTTTGGATGTAAATATGTGTCTATGTTGATTTTTATTAGGACGTAACCATTCACAATAAACACTTTTTTGATTTCAATTCATTCAGGGTACTATGGTAGTTGGGAGTGGGGAGTGCTAAGGGGCTTCATCTCCCTCACCTTTTGATGGAATTGAAAACCAAATAGAAGACTAAATTAGTTTTCTTGTCCTCCATCTATGACAATGCTGCTGAGCTGAGCTGTATCATTTGTCAAAATCATTACTACCATTCATTTTGAAAATCAATTAGAAAACTGCGTACTTTTTATTTTTATTTTCAGACATTAGTTTCTGAGATTTGTATTTGTCTTCGATATGAAAAAAGCCTGATAGTCTGTTAGTCTTGTCATGTCCTGTTGGCACTCCCACATTTTTTTGAAAAGAACTGGAAGAAAAACATAACCAGCATTGTTGTAAGACTGATTCAGGATATAAAGATGCCTCAAAAGCAACAAGAAAAAACCCAGCAATTCCAGCTAGCCAGCCACCATCATCCTCAGCTTGCCATTGGTCATCTCTTCAGCCATCTCCAGTCGGCCTCCAACTTTTGTTGCTCCAACAGGCTTCCTGCACCAGCCAGCAGCAACAATATGCAATAAACTGTTCTTTTCAGGACCTTGCTCTCCAATAACCACAAAACTGTCCTTCTTAGGTTAACACTCTTCTCATCCTCTACATGAGATTTCAGAGTTATCTTTTGCCTCATGCACTGTAAACATTATATTTGTTGATGTATTTTCTTTAACAGAAATAAACTTGGCAATATATTTTTACTCAAGTTTTTGTTGATATATATATATATATATATATATATGACATATATATATATATATGTAGAAATATAGTTTTAAAGTGTGATATATTTATGGGATAAAGTGCTCAATGTCAGAGATAGAGCGTATGCAAATATAAATATAAAAGTGAACATTGAAGTCAACACCAGAGGCGACAGGCTGTTTCATGCTAGACACAATCGTCAGGCAGCCTAAGCATAAATTTTGGCCTATTTACTTCTTTTACAGCTATATCTCTTTTTGAAATAACTACACATTATCGTAAAGCAACTTTTTTTTTTGATAAGTGTAGTTTTATTTATAACAGAAAACTTTAAACAAAAACAAATTAAATAATACAATAAAACCTTTTTTATGTGTAAAATAGCAATGACAAATTAAAAGAACAAATTAAATAATACAATAAAGCATTTTTTATATTTCAAAATTGAAAATAAAACAAACAATAATTAATGTGCAAACTTGGTAAAATAGAAATGAAATAAAGGTTGATTGTATTATTTAATGTTTTTTTTTAATTTGTCCACTTTTAATTTAAAAAAAAAGCTTTATTGTATTATTTAATTTGTTCTTTTAATTTGTCATTGCTATTCTACATGGAAAAAAAAAATTTATTGTATTATTTAATTTGTTTTTGTTATAAATAAAACTACACTTACCAAAAAAAAAAAATTAAATTTCTTTACAGTAGTGCGTAGTGATTTTCTGCACCAAAAGTCTGTAAAAGAAGTAAATAGGCCAAAATTTATGCTTATGCCAAAGGAAGTGGCCTAAGGTGTCCCGCACTGAATTACTTTTAAGTATGCCAGTAATGGTAGACAAATGACTAACAAGAAGTCTGATTTTTTTCTTGTCAATAACTCCAAAATGGTAGGTTTCTTCATAATTTAATTGTTAATTTGAGTTCAGCATGTACATTTACATGGAATTATGACGATTTGGGAAAATTTTAAGAGATATTTAGCGCACAGGTGTTTGCGCATCAAAAAGCAAATTTACCATTGCATCTAGCATGAAACAGCCTGTCGCCTCTGAGTGTTGACTTCAATGTTCACTTTTATATTTATATACATATATGTTTCATTGAATATGACAGGCAAAAAAAATTTGATGAATGAAAAGAAATTAATAACACTGACAAACTCATTGAAAATCGCTAAAGAAGTGATCAAAAACTCTTGGGATAATGGACAATTTTCGCAATCTATTACTCCCACTGAATGAAAAAAATGTAAGAATGGTGATTTTCTAAGCTTGGCACAAGGTCATAAGTATGGGGCATCCAGTGAGGATCAAACTCACTATTCAGTTGTAATTGATCTAGCAAGATAAGCTTGCTAACCATTACACCACATCGAAGTGCTTTGGTGACTTTCTAAGCGTAGCTTAGATGTGGCATAAGGCTGAAAGTATGGGGCACCTAGTGAAAATCGAATTCACTACTCATTTGTATTTGTTCAAGCTTGTTAACCATTACAGCACGTCGAAATGACCTAAATGGATTGGTCAGTCTATTCTGTGATGTTAAAAATTTCCCTATGTCGTGCTGGACTTTACACACATCTTTCAAACCTTATTTTCTACCAAATTTTTCTTTTTCATGAAGTGCTGCCACACCTTGAGTTCTTCCCATAGCTTTTGCCTAGCATCTTTGCATATTGTGAGGAACAGCGTAGATGGTAAACAGAAAGTATGGAAAAGATAAATAAGTTTTTTTGGTGAATGGAAAAATACAGTATAGCTGCATCATGAATAGAACCATTTAAAAATAACAGTGTCTAGCAAAAGACTAGGATTTGCTTTCTAGCAGCTTTCTACTATATTTGCATCATTCACAAATTCTCTTGTTATACTTTTCTCGTATATATCGTCTTGAATGACAGGAAGTAAAAATAATTTGAAGACTGAACTTGCTGATGAGACAAAATACTGAAGCTTTGCTTGAGCGTTTTTACCGTTGCTGCCAAAAAATGTTAATGACATCTCTAAATATTAGATGCCCCTTCTAAATTTAGATGTCAGCAAAAATGGGTATCTCAGTTTGTCTGTTTGTTTAGTGGCATATCAAATCCTTATGGGTTATTTAATGCTGAAATTTAATTTTCTTGGAAGCATTAGCAATTTTCTTTACAAAATTTTTTATTTTTTTTTATGTAATTTTTTTATTTTTTACAAAAATGTATTACTGGTATTTTTTTTTAAAATGTATTGCTGGTAATTTTTTATTTTTTACAAGAATGTATTACTAGTAATTTGTTTTCTTTTTCACAAAAATGTATTGCTGGTAATTTTTTTATTTTTTACAAAAATATATTGCTGGTAATTTTTATTTTTAAATGTATTTCTGGTAATTTTTTTTATTTTTTATAAAATGTATTACTGGTAATTTTTAAAATTTTTTACAAGAATGTATTACTGGTAATTTTTTTTCTTTTTCACAAAAATGTATTGCTGGTAATTTTTTTATTTTTTATATAAATGTATTCCTGGTAATTTTTTTACAATGAAAATTTATTGCAATATTTTTACTATAAAAATGTATTTTTATACTTTCATAGTCTTTTGACCCCAGTTTGGAGGTTCACTACTTGCCCATAGCTGGGACCCTAACAGATGCTACCACCCTGGGTTCGAGTGGGCCTGGGAACAATAGCAATTAAGAGGTGATTCCACACTCCTCAAAAACCTCTGCATCAGAGGCCTGTTGTAGAGTAGTTTTCACAGTGGAGGCTTGTATTTTCAATAAGTCGTCCTAAATTAGGTTCGACGTACAAAACGTTAGGAACTTGGAAATAAGAGTTAATGACACAGCAATCTAGTTGTGATGGCTGGTACTTCAATGTCCAATATCGACTGACTCGCTCAACACCACTGAGCCAAACTGGCCACTGCTACTACTACTTATTATCTGTGGGAGAGTCCATTACAATAGAATAGGTATTATGGTATAACAAGGCCTTACTACTGGATGTAGTTTATCATTATACCCAGGATGTTGTATTTTGGTATTTATCTTTTTGTTATGTAGCATGAGCAAATATGAAAGAAAAATGCTTGAGTTAATAGACATCTCTTAATTTTAAGATAAGAAGATGCTAGTCACAACCTACTTTTGAAACTTAAGATGTGGCTTGTATTGTGTGGGTCATATTGTGTGTGGATTCAGTTTAATTTCCTTCAACTAAATTAATTGTAAATTTTAAAAATATATAGCATGATATATCACATGATATATTGTGATATATCAGATAACAAGACTTTAAAGAGAAATGTCTTCTTTTATGTGCCAAGGTTTTTCAGGTCATGGTTGATCATGGCTCTCCACAATTGCCTAATGTTTTCCACTGACATGAAGTGGAAAGATTATATTGAATCATTTGCTAAGTCTGTTGGTAAGAAAGTTGGTTCACTGTGTTCTGCTAGACAATTTTTCTCGTCAGAATGTATCTTACACCATATCTACCATTTGTCTATGCATTGAATATTGCTGTCACCCTTGGTTTAGTGCTTCTGCTATTTAGAAATTCTTGTTAAAATACAAAGAAAAATCTGCAATGTTATTGGTCCTGACCTGGTATCTCGACTTCAGTCACTTTCTCTCCACAATAACATAACTTCCCTGGTGCATTTTCTATAAATATATTCCTGGTAATTGTTCTAAGATTTTCTCCAGTGAATGTGGGATACCATTTGTCTTTTCAAGTGTGCTTTTCATATTTGTTATTGTGTTTAA